ATAGATAGATAGATAGATAGATAGATAGATAGATAGATAGATAGATAGATAGATGATAGATAGATATAGATATAGATCTATTAGATTTATACTAGTCTCCCTTTATTTATTTATCAGCACAAATACAACACACAGACACACACACAGACACACACACAGACACACACAGACACACACACAGACACACACACACATATATACATATACATATACATAGTATATGTATATACTTCTTTATCTTATAGATAAAGTAGTGGCTGAATTTGTACATCATGATAATTCAGGATTATTAAATAATTTATTAAACAAGCCAAACTCAGATTTGCAGACAGGCAATGCAATCATGGCATTGTTGGAACCCCAACAGAGAAACCGACAAGAACAGAGAAAAGTCTAACAATGCAATATGCCAACTTGAGCTATACATAATTACTACCATCATAAAGTAATATTACTTATTTGGTTAGAATATTTTTCTGTTTTGTTTTAATTTCCTTTGCTTTATACTTCTGTATATTCTTAGAACTTTGAATAGGAAATTTTGATTAGCAAGTTAACTCAATGGTCTAAACAGCTCCTTTCTGTTTTTAGGAAACAAAACTAATTAGGTATAAGGCAACAAAATGCTCATATCTGTTCATAATGTTTTGTTAAACCATAGTTATAATCATTGAACTGACGAGCCATAGTTTCCGATTGATTTATATCCTGAACCCAATTGTTCATACATTGATTAATTATGGCCCATCAAATCAATGTCAGTTAGCAAACACAGGGATAGATTTTCTCCAAAATGATCTGTCTCTAATTTGGTCCTTCAGGTCTTCCAATGGTGCAGCAGTCACTAAATCCCTCCACCTTACTACTGATCATCCTCTTGCCTTGTGCAAAAGAAAAAAAAAGGGGGGGGGAATACAGTTAATCTTCATATTTAATCATTTGTTCCAAAAATTTAGGAATTAAATTGCAAAGTACAAAGCTTCTTGCTTGCAAATCATTTTATGATTGTGAATGTGGTTGGCAATCTCTATTTAGACTGTTTGTGGTAAAGAAAAATCAATACTTAAACATTGGTATCATATATAATTTCCTAATAACATTTTCATTCTTCCATGTCCACTTCTAAGTGTAATGTTGGAATCCATTCTTTAATTGTCCATGTTCATAAATATTTGCCCATTCTTTATAAAAGTATAATGTACATATATACATAGAAAGACAAAATCAGTAGGCATTGCAGAATTTTAGTACAAAAATATTAAATGTAACTCATCTATGCCTATTTTTCATATCTATATAAAATTACATATTCTTGTTAACATTTAACATTTTAAACTCTTTTTGCCTTTATTTATTTTGTCTTTTCTTTTGGATGTGGTTATTGAGGTCTGATCTATTATTAAATACACTTTTGGTACTATGTTATATTTAATGCTTTAAACATGTGATCAATCTTATTATGTATTTCACTATTTTTCTAGTTTCATTCATAAAATGAACACAGCAGAATTTAAAAGTGCAACATTCCCAAATGCAGGACCAAGGCATCTTTTAGATGATAGTGTCATGGAACCGCATGCTCCATTACGGGGACAGGCAGAGAGCTCCACCCTTTCCAGCGGAATTTCAATAGGTGAGATTTTATTTCAATCAGTAAAAAAAAGTGTCTTGAAATTCAAACTTGTATTTTTTTTCATTATATTTATATGCAACCTCTCCTCCATATTACTTAAGTGTCATGCATAGGCCTTATCCACAGATGTGCACATTACAAACTGAGTTAGTGACCTGATGATTTTGGGATTCAAACCTCCCATGTTGTAAAATTACTCAAGATGTACTACCTTTTTAATGTCTAGTATAAAGTTCTATAAAAGTCTCATGCAAAAACAGCCTCTGGGTTAGGTCTACATTTTCCACACCCACATAAGAGCATGGAAAGGGAATAAAAATTATTAGAAAAAGCAAGTGGGAAAGGAATTCCTAGCATCCTTTGCAGTGAAAGTTAACTAAAATATGGCCATCAACTGACAGGTCCATTGATCATAACTTGGCATAAATATCAGTCCATTGATTTATTTACTTATAAATTGACTTAGCATGGCTTAGCTAGGCTGCTAATTTTCATTTGGCCAGGGTCTTTCAAATACTTGTAGAGATCTTTATTACAAACATGAACAAAGCAACATTTTCAAGGACATGAAAGGACACACATTAGATCTAGTTTTTGTTTCAACACAAATTCAATGTGATATGAAAGGGTGAAGATGTTGAACGCATCTTATGTCAAGGACTGATCGCTTTCTGATTGCTACAGAGTTATCTGTTCTGACCCCCCTCCTCCATCCAGGAACGAAAGCCAAAACAAACGTAAATGAGAAGGTTTGTCAGTCAAGACTCTCGTTGGCTGCAAGCCACATAAACAAAGAGATAAGCACTCTGGCAGCAAGTCTTACAAAACTTGGCAGCAATCCAGTCTGCCAAGTTTGTTTCCTGTTAATCCTTAACGTTGACTTCTGCAGAAAGGCGTGGCACAAGCAGTCTCTTTATAATCAGGAGAGGATCCTAATGAGCATCAGCTGAGCGTAATCACCTCTTGTAATTACACCGTTGTTCTTGACGCCGAGTAGCCCTTCAACGGCGTGCATCCCGGAACAACTCACAGGTGTTTTCTGGATCACTCACTCTTGTCTCCTCCCCACTGATCCAAGGCTCAGGTGCCACCTGGTGGCTAACAGTCTCTCTGTGCCCTGCTCGGAGTCGGAACCCTGTCCAGGGTCCTCCACCTCTTCCAGGGCCGACTCATAAGACCGCTCACTGTCGGAGTCTGGCGGCAGCTCCAACGGCTCCTGCCGGGCCACAACAGTTATGTGTAGCATTTTCTTCCTGCACTGGGAAGGACTCATTAACTTGGTTTACCCCAGCATCTACCTATGGGTATTCAGAGGCTCCTGGGAAATTTCACAGGGATCTGGTAAACAGTTCATCCAAGTCACTGGTTACACATTTGTTTAATAGGACATTCAATGCCATGGATAGATTGCATCATAGCTGTCTGCCCTTACATGCAGATTTGGTGCTGCTTTTTAAAACACTGAAGAACTTAGGGTGATGAACCAGTAGAAAAGACGCAGCTGGAGAAAGAACAATATTGAGTGACTGAATCCTAGTACAAACCTAAGTTAATTCACACATTCAGGTGATGCAGGTGGCAAAGTTGAAGTCTTTTGTCTCCCTTATCTACATGCTGAATGCAGTCCAGCAGCATTTTTTAAGACAACCTGCTTCCTTTCAGAACAGGATGTTCACCAATATCATCTCACTCATTCCACTGCGAGGAATTTCATGCTATCCTTCTGGGCCATCCTCTCAGAAAAGGGAGATGGTGGCACTGTTTTTTTTAGAGGTTTTTCCTGTGTTTGGTTGGCTAATTCCAGAAGATGGTGCTAAATTGTTATTGTTCTACTTCATTTCTTTTATGCATACAGACACAGAAACATAATGAAAGAAGAGGCACAAATGTATTAAACGAAGAACAAGTGCTATATATGTATTCATTTAATATAATGCAATTAAATTATATTCTGCAATTAAACTATTCAAATTTAAGCAAGTTCTAACAATTAAGTGGGGAAAGAGAAATTGAACATAAAAACTAGTATCTATAGTTAAAATAATCTCATAAACAAAACTCCCAGAAATAAGGTGTTTTCTTTTTAAACTAATGTCATTCCAATTGAGTCAGTTTTATTATGGGTAATTTATACAAGTTTTTTTGAAACATTTTCAGACCTGGCATATCATAGAATTACAGTGTTTTTAAAATGATTCACTTAATCCAATTTTAGGTAGCAGTGATGGTTCAGAGCTTAGTGAAGAAACTTCTTGGCCAGCATTTGAAAGGTAAGAGAAGTCAATATATTTTATATTTGTTCAAATGTGTATTTAACATATGACAGTTTTACATTTCTACATAGGAAAGTGTGCTAAATATTCCTGGTATAGTGCTTTTTAATCAAGGCTCTGCTTTTCCTACACATGGATTATAAATGTAAGAAAAAGTAATTGCTAAAATAGTTCAATCATGCAAGTTTTCTGGAGAGTGCATTATCACTAATATTTTAGCAGTGGTCCCAGAATCCTATTTTGCTCAAACATTTGCTCAGAGGGAACATATCGGGGGTGGGGTTCTCCTGGTTCGCACTGGTACGCCAGAACCGGTTCGTGAAATTTAGCGTACCTTTTGGAACCTGTTCCAAAGAAAGGAAGGAAGGTAGAAAGGGGGAGAGATACACACAGGAAAGGAAGAGATACACACAAGGAAGGAAGGAAGGAAGGAAAGAAGGAAGGAAGGAATGGAGGGAGAGAAAAAAGAGAGAGACAAAGATAGAGAAAGAAAAAAGAAAGAAACAGGAAATGGGAAAGAGAGAAGAAAGAAAGAAAGAAAGAAAGAAAGAAAGAAAGAAAGAAAGAAAGAAAGAAAGAAAGAAAGAAAGA